CCTCTTTTAAAGTCAGCATTTCGTAATTTTATGGTCGTTATAATGACCTTCTTAGCAAATATAACCTATCATTGGGTCGTATTTTGGCTGACTTGTTTCATACCAATTGTTAGGCCTTTGTTTTTATACTGAATTTGACTACGGAATGTTCTGTCTATACCTGATCAATTCATAGAGCTCACGGCGGGTGTGACCGGTCAACAGGGGAAGCTTACCCCTCCTAGGCACCTGATCCCACCTCTGGAATTTCCAGGGGTCCGTGTTTTATACCCTCTTCATAGAATTGTATTTTTTATACTGGTAATTTTTTTTAGATCGATCACTGTTCGTTATCTTCACCTTTTTCATCTGACATTCAAATAGAAGTATGATTCCCCAACTTTCAAAGCTAGAGTGTATATTGAAATTAAAAGTACATATTAGATTTTTTTTCATTTAAAAACATGGTGTCATGTGTTTAATCCAACTATCCTCCAAAAAGATTTCAGTCTTTCTTTACTGCAATATTATTACCAGTCTACAACGATCATTTTGGTACTATGGTGTCCGGATAGGGCCATTTGCCAAAGCTCAACAGCAATTTCAGAAAACACACCATCGCGCCCATACTACCCATAGTCTTCTGCCTCTCCGCACACAGGTTTGGTACAAACGAACTCTGGCGGAAGTTTGACAACACGCCATCACATTTATACAAAACACGTCATCGCGCTTATACACAACACGCCGTCGCGCTTACACGATTTCAAACAACACGCTGTTGCGCTAACACGACTTTACACAACACCCCGTCGCGCTGTCACACAACTCGCTAACACAACTTTGTGATAGCGCGACGGCGAGTTGTTTGCTAGAGCGACGACGTGTTGTGTGTTAGCGCTACGGCGTGTTGTGCGAACTTGTGCTAGCGTGACGGTGTGTTGTTCAGTGATGTGTTAGCGCAATGGCTGTTGTGTGTTAAGGTGCGGTCACACGATGCGATTTTTCATTCGATTTTCATTCGACTTGCTCAGGTAAGTCGATTGGTGGGGTGGTCACACGATACGATTTTACATTCGATTTACAAACGATTTTGACAAGAAATGAACAGGTACTTGTTTTTTTTAGTTTGAAGTAGTTCTGATTATTGTAATAAACCTAAAAAGCATCATTATGAAAATATTTTTCCCTTCATTCAGTTTAATATTACGTCATATTTGCCCCATTATGACGTTGATGTTGACGTAATCTACAGGTTATGTCCGAAGAAAACATACCGCATGTAAAGAACTTGTCCGAAGTATCTGATGTTTTCCAGGGTTTTTAAACTGAATAATGAAGGAAAATACATGCCTTTTTTTTCGTTTCGGCATAAAAAGATTTTAAAAAAGAACCTGCACTAGACTTTCGCTTACAAGAAAAGTTAAACTTTTTCCGTTGACCAGCAGTTGACGAAACAATATTATTGAAAACATTACTGTAAGTGAAATATTTACAGCCCATTGATTACTATGTGTATATTTAAAATGCGTGACTGGGTACACTGTAAATCAAATTCACCAGACGCTCCAATTATTAAGTTAATCAAAATTTTGATAAAAGTAACTTTTGGTAGGAAAGTAAAGAATGTTACCTTCCTAAAATAATTATAATAATAATAAAATAAATAAAAATTAGACTTAAAAACTTCCCTGATGATATGTAAACTAATCATTAATATTTTTAAAGAATTCAATGTTGAATCTTTTTTTTTTTGGGGGGGGGGGGGTTCCAAGTTCAATTTATTCACTCAAACCAAAGTATTGGTACGTGAGTTACAAAATTAATAATATACAAACATATATACATGTACAGTAGTTACGGGTACATGTACAATGCTACATCACGTCGAAGTGAAAAGAAATAAGGAAGATAATTCAAGGAGAAAAGACAGCAACGTAATTTCTCCTAATAAAAGATAGTTTTTTTTCAGTCTTTTTTTCGTAAGTAGTTCCGTATATAAGGAGAGTAGGGACGTTTACAGAGGCTCTTACTTGTAGGAGTAAAGATTAAAATCCTAATCTAGTTAACCACTTCATTTAGAACTTTATGTGAGTTCTAGAAAATTAAAATCTACCATTTTAAATTATTCTACACGTTTACATATATATACGTGAAATAAGTTGAATCTCTTGACGTACGCTTATAATTAGAATCCGTGCAAATACTTAAAAAACTACTTGTTCATATTATTGATAGGATTGGGGTGTTTACGCGGCGTCAAGTCAAAAGTATCTCGCCGTGAACCCCTAGCATATTGATGTACTGTTATCGTGTACCGCAGATCTTAATTTACAGCAACATAAGCACATGAAAGATCTAATTTTAATTAGATTTATAAACTTGCTAATTTTAAAAGTAATAGCTAAAACTTCTTTTTTTAAGATAAATGCGATGATTTGAATCAAGCTAAATCTCTGATATTCAAAAAAAATCTTTAATCGTAATTTGGCATTCTATAAACACATTCATATCTCCGTCCTCGCAAACTACGGTAATAAAATAATAGTTTATGACTTGTATGCTTTATATAATTAGCCATTTGTACCCAATAATTGCCGTTTACTGGGTATCCTTATATTTTGTCAATTTTAATAATTTATACATTCATTATAGATGACAAAAATAACGACTATTCATTTCGCGTCGCGGGAAATGTCATTGTGACGTCATGATTTTCACCAGAAAGTCGATTGAAAATCTGACGCCATCCGATTTCCAATCGACTTTCAGATTTTGCTTTCGACTTTCGATTTGGGTGGTCACACGGTACGATTTTAGTCGAAAGCAAATCGAATGGAAAAATCGGATGGAAAATCGAATGAAAAATCGCATCGTGTGACCGCACCTTTAGCGTGACGGCGTGTTGTGTGTTAGCGCGACGGCGTGTTTTTTCTCTGAACACGCTGTTGAGCTTTTGCAAATGGTCCTATCCAGACACCATATTATGGTGGTACACCGATCCCGATGTATTTTCATAGCATTTATATTTCAGTTTTTGTTGATACTGTATAGCATACATTTTCAAAGTATAGTGTCATGAGCTCATAAACATGAAATATAATTGCTTATATCAATACCCTGCCTCACAAAATCAAAAGAGACAAAAGATAAACCAACCGTCTGGAGTATCTATGCAAAGTAGGTCGAAGGTCAAGGTCAAGTAGATTGTAACGCTATTAATTTTCATGATGTTTTATTTCGAATAGTGCAAATGCTAAGTAACATAAATTTAGCTCTTAAATATCAAAAATATGCTGTATATCTGCACAATAAACTATTTTGAAAAGTAGGTCAAACTCAATATTACAAAGGCCAAAGTGCCAAGCAATATATGTGCAAAATATCAAATCCATATTTTTTTTTTACAGTTCTCAAGATATAGGGTGTGACAGAACGGACGGACGGATAGACAGACGCCGGGGAAAGTGATCCCTAAGTGTCGCTCTGCTCTGCAGGCGACAAAAATGTGTTTATCCGAGAGCGAGTAAAAAATTTGGTCTTTTCCAAGGCAGGGTATGCTCACTCCTCCATGGCACCTGGTCCCACCTCTGATGTTTTAGAGATCCTTGTTTGCTCTGTTCCTGTCTTGTATCGTTTGAATGGACTTTTGAGATTGAATACTGTTCGTTATCTCATTATTTCATTTTATGAATTCTAGAGAAAAATAAGATACATTTCTACTGATTTTCTACAATGGTGAAAATTGAAACTTAACCCAACTTTTCTGTTTACCATGTATCCTAGTCACTTAAGGTCAGACGACATGTTCCTCGAATATCTGTTTAGCATACCTTTGTAATATTCCAGAAATATTTAAAATTATGATTATATTTTAATTTCTAAACTATTTCAAAATGTATAGACCAAAAATAGAGATGTCAGCAGTTCTCGTGATTTCTTGTATAGGATTTTATATAGGAAATACCATCCTATGGAATCTTACACAAATGCCTGGTAATGTACCCCAACTTTTTTAAGGAACTTTTT